GAACTGGTTCGGAACTATAGAATTTAGGACTAGTTCGGAACTATCGAAAAAGGGATGCAGCGGGGGGCAATTGACACTTCCTAGGACATCGCCATGTTAAATTCGCCAGTTGCTTGCATGCAAAATAGATTTATCTCGAACCAGTACTGGGTCTAAATGTACTAGAAGCGCACCAGTTCAGAACTAGAGATTTTCCCCACAGGGTACATACAGTGTCTGGTCGAGCGCCTTGCTTCGCGTGCAATCACGTAAACAACGGATTTCTCTGGAAACCAGATGGAACGCGCAATTTCAAGTGCTTTTCTTCTTTCTTTTGTGTATGGAATATGGTTAATGAGTCCGAGTACATGCTCACACTAACACAAAGTCAATTCCTGTTCAAGTACTTTACCGCTACGCACATACGCACACCTACAAGGCTACAAACATATGCCTATTAAACTGTCTTCATTTTAAGGGCATTCAAATATTCAAGTTGCAGGATATCGTCAGCACATGTCCCTACAAATGACTCCAATTACAATTACAATTGGTTAGCTTATTGCAATTTGTTATTGTTTTCATATTTTCTTATTATACTATGTTTTTTCAGTTGCCCCCACTGCTCTTGTTTATTGTTGCTGTTGCTGTGGCTGCATTTCCTGCATTTGTATCATTTTTGTGTTTTTTTTTTTGTTTTTGCGTGTGTCTGTTTGGTTCTTTGTTTGCCAGTGCATTTTGCCCAAACTGAAGTTTATACTATTTTACGCATCTTAAAGCATCAAATTACTAAGTAATTTAGTTCTTCTCAGAGTGGGTCGTTGTTGTGGGCATTGGAATGTTCGATCTGCCAGTGTTCGGCTCGGAGGCGACAGTATGTCTGCGTTGTGCGTCGTCCCAGACAGTTTGGCACCAGACAGGACTTGATGCGTCTGCTATAGGTCGACACTTGAGTGCATACGTTTTGTCGTGTAATTTGAGAAGTTTGTTCGTAAGTCATATTTTTTAGTTTTTTTTTTGTAGAATTTATTTTGCGGTCTACGAAGCAAAAAATATGTAGAAAGCCCGAACATCAGAATGTGGTTTGTTTCGTTTCATTATTAAATGAATCTAATACACATCGCGGTGCCTTAGGAGTAAATATGCAAAATTTTGTCAAGATAATAAATATGTACATATGTAGTTATTAACAAAACAATAAATATAAAAAAATTTATTTAAATTAAAGCTTGTTGCCTATATAACGCTCCCTCTCATCATTTTCAATTTTTTTTTGAAGTGCGTTCAACTGTGGGATCGTTCTATTATCGATTAAGTTTGATCGACATTTAATTACATTAAAAATGATGTATGTATTTTTTTTTTTTTTTTGAGATATAACTGATTACAGTACACAACTCCGAAACCAATTTGTCTCTGGACAAAACACCATCTCTAACCCTCCTTATTTGCTTTACAAGGACTATATACATACTGTACAGTATAACTGTAAATTCAATACAGTCGTGTGTACATTTATTTTGACCAAATAAACACAACTATCAAAGCTCTTTTTGAGTCGTTGGAGGTTTCAGAACATACATACGATATTTCAAACCCGACAGCGGCAACAGAAAAAAATCGTTCAAATATTTTGCTAGAGCGTGGAAATTTTGGCATAAGTACATATCGATGGCTGAGTGGAAGATCGACCTATCTCGGCTGCCAGCACGAAAACGCTCTATCTCAAAAAACTTTTCAAGAACGCCCTATTTCAGAATTTTATTGAAAAACTCCCTATCTCAAAATTCGGTTCAAAAACGCCCTATCTCACTTCAAAATGTATTGAAAATATGCTGATATAGGGCGTTTTTGAATCGGCAGCTGAGATAGGGCGTTTTTGAAACGAATTCTGAAATAGGGCGTTCTTGAAAAGTTTTTTGAGATAGAATGTTTTCGAACTGGCTGCCGAGATAGGTCGTTCTTCCACTCAGCCATCGATATGAAGGGGTTAGAATCATAAGGGTCTAAGTGACATTTTTGAAAATATAAGTTATAATTTACAATAAGTAAACAACTTTAACTTTAATTATCGCAAAAAAATGTCAGATCTACTTAGATCCTTTTGATTCTAACCCCTTCATATGTATTTATTGATATCGTTATAACCGCGTGGGGTTGATGGAAATAAGACCGCGTGAATTAAGGCCGTCTCCTTATTTAATCCAGTTAACATTTTGTCTTATTATTCTCTAATTTTCACTTGTCAAAATGAATTATGCCCGCGCGGTCTAATTCAATTTTTTGATTGCGGCCTAATTTCACTTGTAAAAATGTCCGCGGGGAATTTAGGTTCATTTAACTGGATGAAGAAGTGAAACGAATGGATCGTAGCCCTAAAGCTTAGTTAGTCTGGACTTAATTTCCGTAACTTAACTTAACTTAATATTTTGGACATTTTTGTTTCGTCCAAATTCGAGTTTTCGTGCAGAAACTTACAATTTAATTACATTGCTGATATTTTTAAAGATAAATGGGCAATCCTCACAAACTTCGAATTTTTTTGTGGAAAAAATTATTTTTCTTAAATCGTGAGCTCTTGTCTGAAATGTTTAGTGTACGTTCCTTTAGCTTCTAGAATACAACATCCAACGGGTTGTAACATTTTAAAGCAACGTTTTCAACGTTTTTTACGCGTTTTTTTTTGCGCGTAATTCTAGTCCGATTTCGAAAATATTCAAAATATAGCTTTTTAATGCCAAGGTGCTGAGTTTGGTACAAATTGATAAATTGGTTACCGAGATACACATACAGTGAACCAAATAAAAACTGGGACGCAACATTTTAGTAAGTTTTGGCTATTTTTCTTTAGTTTATTTAATGTTTATTATTTTTTTACGAAAGTATAGCTAATTACTTAACAATCACGATATAAACCCAAATTTCAGACTTCGTGCAAAAATTATGAGAAATCGGCAAAGTTTGACCAAAATTTCTAACTTCTTGATAATCATCTTTAGATAAAATTTTGGTATTCAGCTTTGTAGCCCATTAAATTTTAGTAGGCAAATTGCAAATTTTAAGTATCTTGGACTTACCGTTGATTTTTGGAAGTTTTTTTTTATTGACGGTGCTCCGCATTTTTTTTTCATATAAAAAAATTTCCGAACATAAACTGCCAAAAAGCAACGGTAAGCTCTTCTCCAAATACTACAAATACTTCATTATAAACTCAAACATGGGCAATCAACACACCAAATTTTACAACGTAAAAATAAAAAAATAATAGGAGTCACTTTTATTTGTGAAAATTTCCCAATGTTATTTCTGAATTATATGCATATTTGGCTAGAAAATATCTAGCGTGGTCCTGTTTTTTGCATTTACATAATCTACACAACATACACAGGCGGTCATTAGAATAGACTCGCCTTACTTTGAAGAGGTTTGGCTATATTTCCATGGATTATTTTATGTTTAATATTTTTTTTTTATAAAAGCCTGGCTAGCTATACAACAAACACCATATAAATCCCCTTTTCAAACTTATAAAAATTCGACAAATTTGCACCAAATTTTCAAATTTAAATTTTAGTTCCGATCACTGGATCACGAAGAAATTAACGGTGCTCCTAAATTCTTATGTGCGCGTTGAAGTCGGTTGCATTTTTTGCTTAAAAATTACTTGTTTTACAATTTAAATAAAATTTATTCACTAACAAAAACCATATAAACTCAAAACTTAAACTTTGAAGAAAAAAATATTCACCAAAATTTCAAACTTTTTTTTCAAAAATGCGTATGCATTTTGAAGTAAATAGTTAAAAATTACGGTTGATTTTTGAAATTTTTTTTATTGATGCTCTCCCACAATTTTTTCCATAAAAAAATGGGAGCATTCGTTGTCTGGAAAAAATTGCGAAAGAGCGGCAGTAAAAAAAAAAAAAAATCATCGCTAATTTGTAACTACATACTTCAAACTGGCAATTTATTGTAATAAAACTGAATGGGCTACAGACAAAAAATTTTAAATTTGAATTTACTTACAAAATTTTTGTTAGAGAACGAACTGTATTTTAATTGAAAAATAATGGAAATTAAATAAAAGAAAAATAACCCAGAAAAAAGCGAAAAGCATTGTACCGATTCAAGTGCATGGCAGTGTATGTGTCTAGAAAAATGTATAGCTTCTTTGAAATTCACTAATTTTTCCAAAATATGAAAGTGTTGAAAGCCCACCACTCGGAAACTTCTAATATCAATATCATTTCATTTGAATAGTTCCTTTCATTATACATTCATATTTCAAACAACTTATTCCTTTAGCTTGCCAAAATCATTATTAATTAAGAAGAGTATATTTCTTTGTTTCAATCAGTAAATCGCAGAAATAATAAATAATAGTCATTCACAAACAACACAAGTTTGCTGCCAAAGAAACGAGTATTAGCCACATTGTACATTGGTGTGTGATGAAACACAAAAAAAAAATGCTAAAAACAAATTACCAATCCATTAACGCGGCAGCATATTATAACAAAACCGCTTCAAATATTAGCAGGAAAATGCATTTACTCGAGAAAATTTGATTGATACCACATTCATCTGTTGATTTTAGGTGGATTGTCGGCGTAGGTAAACAACAAATAAATAAGCGAAAACAAGTGAGGCGAAATGAAGTGAAATGCGAAATTCTTACAATATACCGCTTATGGAATTGTGCAAGTCTGGAATTGATTGCGAGTGGCTTTTTGGAATGGGAAGGAGTGAGAGAATTTGAAGCTGTCGACAGCTGGTGCCAAATGAAACTGTCTATCAAAGCGTATCCAACGCCAGCACAATGGCAGGGTGAACTGACACACCCCACTAATTGAAACTCAATTGAGCACATGACTACATAAATACATACATACATATATACATACATACTACATAAATGACTCTATGAAAGAGCTATGCCAACAACAACAAAGAAAGCTACGATCAGCAATATCATTCGGTATTTGTTGTGAAAAATAACAGACTAAAAACACTAAACTCACCTTCCATTGCGGCAGTTATATGCAGCGTTGTTTGTTGTAGCGTACGTAAACGCTGCTTATAAATTTTCTTCTGTGCGAGTAGTGCCTGTTTGGTGTGAAACGAATTGGAGGAAGCCATTTTACCGCCGCTGTCACTGCTTGGCTGTGTTGTTGTTGGCGCTGTAACACCTTCGCCCAGTGCGCATTGTCCATTCGCTTGAGCCTCCAGTGCTTCCATGGATTGTTGGCGACGCAGTGCCACCTGGGCGGCCATCACACGTTGGCGATCGACAACTAATTGACAGTTCGGACAGCAACATTCGCGCCAACGACAAAGCTTTTTATGACCTTTGACACAAGAGATGACGCCATGATTGCGACAGCGTGCACATTTCGGCGTACGCAATATGCGTGACTCCTTTTGTGGCGCCGGCGGTGGTGATGTGGTTGAAGATGAGAAGGCGGTGGGAGAGCAGGTGCTTGAGGAGAAGGATGGTGAACTATTGGGAGTTGATAGATTCGAAGCTCTCGTTTGAGGTGATGGTGAGTTCATGTTGTGAATGTTACTATTTTGTGGCATGTCCTGATCCGATAAAGCTGGTGATGAAGCTGGCGTGTAGTGGCAACCGAGCATGGCGTTTGTATGGTGTATGTTGGTGTTGAAAAAATTTCAAAAACAACCGTCGACTCATAAATTGAGGATACTTCTTTTTAACTTTAAATGCTCTTTATTTTAAAGTCTGTTTTTTAAATATTTCTATCTTGCAAATTATTGCCCACGTTTATTTTATAGTATCTAGCACTTTTTCTTAACCAACACAAATCACTTCAATTGCTGATCGTGCGTATCACTTAATATACTCCTATTCCATCTGTTAACGCGCTGCTTGCTAGCGAAAGTGTGCTGCGTGTTCACTCATTTGATTCCTCTTAAGTTGACTACTTAAATAAAAGAAATGTTTCAATATTTGCTTAGAAACGGAAATCGCCACAAATACTTACAAAAACGTGTATCCGCCTATGTACATATACAATAGTAGACTCAACGTACAGACCTACACACAAATGCATATATATTTAGATACATAGGCAAAAGTAACAAAATTTAAAATGCAAGTAATTAGAAAACTTAGTTTTCCCTTTCAATTCTTTTGTTATTCTTTTCTTGTTTCAAATGTTGACTTTCAACAAAAACAAGTACCGCTTGTTGTAGCGTTCTCATTGGCTGCGATCGCTGATCTGTACGCTACACTCTTCGGCCAATGAGGCACAAGTGCTGTTCCCACAGTGTGTCGGGCCAGACGGCTAGACGCATGTTCAAGTGCCTTCTTTACCGACACTGGCAGAGAGTGTATTAGACATATCTACATACATGCGTCACCTGAAATGCAAGAAGTAGTAACTAGCGAATATTTTTTTTTTTTTTACATAAAACGATTGGGGACTTCTAAATCGATGAAAGGCATCATAATCAATCCATAAGTGGATTTTGTATTTCTTGTTAGTTAGGCCCTTTTGCATTTCAAATGACTATGTGAACTTGTTGTGCTGGGTTAGTGAAATTGATAATTGCTTTCTTATAAGTGTGTTAGTTTTGTGTATCAAAATAAAAGTCATATTTTGTGGTTTTTGAGATTGTTTTCGTAAATTAGCTCGCAACATGGTGTTTGGTACCTACTTATTTTTGCCTATAATAATATAATGTACTAATGTATCTATACATACATATATGTATTTTAGGTTCTCATTTTCATCCCGATATCATATTCCCTCTTCTTTTTCTTGATTGGTACGTCACTACCAACGTCTAGTCGATTGTGATCCTATCCAATAAAGCACGCACGTCCTTTTGATTCCATACCAACTGAAACCAATTAGAAACGTCAAGTGCGGTAAAGTACTTCCTCTATTTAGGGCTCTCTTATCCTTCGAGATCAAATCCTCAGTTGTCCTGGAGTGTGTAGAGAGGCTTAATGCTCTGGGGGAGAACAATACCATCCAATTGATTTGAGTACCAAAGCTCATGGGAGTCCAAGGAAATGAGGAAGCGGATCAGTTAGCCAGATTGGCCACTGCTTCGACCCCGAAGGAAAACACTAAACTAAGGGAACTGCATTGGCGTAATATCATGGGACTCCGTCAATTCAAGAGCTTTCTAAGAAGGTAAAATCTAAAAATATAAAGGGTACTCATGGGTCTCCCTAAGGCGAAACTAAGAATTATTGCAGGATTTTCGATGTGCAATTGTATGTTAAGTGGTAGAATTTAGAAATCTGTGACTCTGCCAAGAAAACTCCATTACACCACCTTCTGGATGTATGACTGTTTCACGCCGTAGGGAAAGGAGCACAGGGCATATTTGGCCAGTAGAGGAGTACATTCACTCCCAGATCCGGGGATCTATTATGAAATTTATAGAGTCTCTAGGGCTGGCTGAGGTTTTGTGAAGAGTTGAGGGCACAATAGATCTGCTTGTCGCATTGTCTCGTTATCTATCTTATGATCTCAAAGGAGGACTTACTCTTGCTCTGCTACCGCATTTAAAACCCTCAGGGATGGAACGTTTGTATCCATTCGTACGACATAAGATAAATTCCTCGCTGTTTTTTTTTTAAATCTGACAACAAGAACTGTAATTTCCCGCAGGTAATAAATATCACTGCATTGGTGGAGCTCACTTCACTATGTATTGGAAATGGGTGCGTGAGAGATTGTGGCTTACGTTCACGCTCGTGATTTTGTAAGTCACATACACTCGCGTTTTCTAAAATTGTTCTAACTCACGTTCTTGCACGCTCACGAAGACTTATTTTTTAATCGCGCACGTTCACGCACGCCTTTTCATGCAAATATTACTTTTCGCCTAATTGTGGGCAACCCGACAACTTAGAAAAATGCAGAGATGGCTACACTAGCCAAGCGACTAGAGCGCGAGCAGGAGATTGCCCTAATCGGTTTTGGTAGTGCATTAAGAACCAATCCGCACTATGGCGCTTAACGTCATGCTGAAAATAACGCCGGCCAGTATTGCAGGCAGAACTATTGCAGTACGAACTGTCGTTAGACTCATTAAAACCGGGTGGTTAAATGGCTCGAAAAGTGAATACTCGGTAGTGCTGGAGGGTTTTGGTTTCATCCCTGACCATACAGATTACTACATCTACGTAATGGCTCCTAGTAACTTCCTTTCTACCTACATTTTCGCAAGGATGGAAATAACTTTCAATAAAAAAGCGGGCGACTCACTGCTGAAGAGTGTGACGCCAGAGTTAAGGAAGTGAGCATATACACTGATAGCCAGGCGTCCATCAAGGCCTTGAAAGCTAAGGTGGTGTACTGAAGACTTCTCAACCGCGTCGGAGTATTTCCTGGTCCGACTCATTTGGGTTCAAAGTCTTGAAGCCTTGAAGCGTTAACACCGGATATAGAGCAGCTGACATTTCTCTATTCTCCTATGGTTCACTTTTGGACGGTTAAACCGCATTTAAGTTCAACGAGCGCTGGGTAAAGACTAGTACACGCGAAGCTGCAAGATCCTTCTAGCCTATGGTAGATCAGAGGCTTCCGACAGCCCACTGTGTGATTGGTATTTACGCAGTGAGTTTAAGAATCTCACTTTTCTATTATACTGCCAAGCCTTTACGAGGCTAAAGCGGAAACCTTTTGGCTCGCACTTCCAGTCTAACCCTGAAGAGCTCTCAGGCATTGAAATTAGCTGTACTCGTAATTTCATACACGGCTTGCGGCGTTTTGTCGACTAAGTGATGGTCTTCGTTTAACTTTCGTGGTAACACAAAGGACAATCTATTAAATGTCCAAGTGCGTCCCTAGGAATGCGACTGGGCTTCAAAAGTGTTCCCTCAATAATTAGAGTTTGCTCTGGACCTTAGTAGCTAATATGCCGTGTTTGCACATACATTGGATCCTAGATCGTTGGTATGTGTAAAACACTAGAAACGCGTCTATCTTCGATTACATTATAAAACCGATCTGGTTTCTTGTTTTTCGATCTGGAGACAGCGACGCAAATTGTTGAAAGTACGATCTTTAAGCTTGTAGAAACGTTCTTTATTCGCGCAATCCTTCTTTACACCAATGTGTATAAATAAAGGTTAAAGTAAACTCAGTAATTGAAAGGTAGGTTGGTTTGTTCCTATTTCCTATGGTACCAAAGATTCTTTAAGGAGCGGAAGCTACCCAGTGGGAAAATGTAATGTATAGTAATCGAAAAAATAATCAGTAAAACAAAATGCATTTTTTTTCCAGGGCGATGTCCTAAGAAAAGTTGGGCATTCAATTTTGCATTACCTAGTATCGAGAAATGAATGTATTTTACTATGAAATTTTTGGAACTTTTTGAATACATTAGAATGCTGATTACATAGTTAGCAGTAATATTATCGAGAACGCATAAGAAATACATACGCCTGTAATGCATTACTACTTTTCCTACTGGGTATAGTCGGAGTGTCGTTGTATTATAAAAGCCATATGGACGACTTTTATTGAATTGCTGTGCTTTCTATGGCTATGTATGTGAAACTATTCGCCCTCCTCGTAGTCATTGTACTTAATTAACTGCAAGCAAAACAACAAAAATATTTTCAGACTTTGTTTTAATATTTTCCTTTATTACAATATTTTTTTATGTCTGCATTTATAAATAATAAAGCATAATGCACATGTTTGTCTGTCTGCATGTATGTATGTATTAATTTATGTATGTGTAACCGGTATTTAAATTTATTCAACAATGTATCATATGTATGTATATTTATGTATGTAATTACGTACATCATTATCCTTTTAAATATGTAAATATGAAAACGATTTCTTTAGAACTAAACAACGCTAATATAAACTTTTTTTTTTTAACTATTGCTAGTACTATAGTATTAATCTTCTTGTAATAACATTTCATAAAAATCTAGTACAAACTTTTGATATACATATAATGTTTTACTATTGTTTTTGTTTTATTATAAATGAATAGGCTTTTGATAAATCTTAAAATGGATATGAACGAGAAGACTGTTTTGGATCTGAAGTAACTAACCCTTTCGTACACATTTATTTTTTAATTTCTTTTCTTTTTAGCTAAAGAATTCAATATTAATTCTCAGTTATTTGTTTTTTTTTTGTAGCTGTGTCTGTGCATTTTTTAGAGTGCTATATTGGTTGAAAAGTATCTTAATGTTTTACTACGTTTGTGCCACTGTACAATTGGTGCAAACTTTTCGAACATTGATAGTGGTGGTTTTCGGATTTTACTACATAACTGAAATTGTGGTTTTTCTATTTCATTCAATTCTGCTTTGGTGGCTCTGAAAATTTCAATTATTGTCCATTTTAATTAGATGAGTTGCGTTTTTGAATGGCGAAAAAAACACATACAAAAAAAAAATCCAAAAGAAAAATACAAAACGATTATAATAAACTAAAATCCAACAAATTTTTGTAAGAAAATTAAAGTGATTTCAACTAATATTTAGTTAACTATTTGTGATAATTCTAAGTATTCATAGACAAATATTTTAATTTTTTTTTTCTCTTTAAGATTATATATGAATTTCGCAAACAAATTTTTTTCTTCTAGCTTAGTTTATCACAATTTTCGAGAAATATGATTATGCA